GAATTGCTATTGCAAAGATTAATGGCCGAAGAAATAATGATTTGCTGTCTTAATTCTTTCTCTTTTATCTATTTGTATATACACTGCAATTCTATTTTATATCTTTTATTGCTTGTTTATTTTACACTACGAAAGATTGTTGGATAATCAAGTCCGAGCTTTTACTTTATTGATCGGTTGTTGACTCAATAAAAAACCCTAGGTCAACTATGACCAAAAAAAAAAAAAAAAAATGGGGCTTAGCAATTGGGGTATACAAACCAAGATCAAACCCTAACACACTAGATCATGAAGGTTTTTATTGCTAATAATGAGCCAATAGAAATTTACCAAGTGGACCAACCAGACTGGTCCAACCAGGACAAGAGTGGTTGGTATAAGCGTCACCTTTCCACTGATGAATGGAGCAATGCCAACCGTAAAGGAGTTAATGGAGTGTTTATTAAATAGAAAATCATGCTCAAAATTGATTTTCAATGAGTTCTACGTCTCAATACTGTTGTCTAAAATCTTTTTATTTTCTTAAAACAATAATAGAAGCACAAACAATGATGCACAGGAAATGTAAATATTGCTAAGTCTGATCCCCATTCACAAATATTCTCTGACTCTGAATTTCTATTTTTCTCCTACTCATTAGTTTAATAGAGTTCATGTTAGATTGCATTGGAGAGTCAAATTTTTTTTAATGATCAAACAAAACATCAGAGTTGCTCTAAGAAAATCCTCCATTCGTTAGTGCGATGCAATACTGCAAGTGCATGGATCATGAACAGACAATAGTCACGAGGGGTATCGATCTCAGAAGAATCAGTCTACTCGTGCTTAAGTAATTCAATTCTAGTTTGATTAAATTGTCAAGTAGCACACAAGTTGATGGGCTTTTGAGTTCGAATTTAAACCAAAATGTAAGAAAAGCAATCAAAACAAATAAATGTGAAGTTTTGAAGGAAAATTTAGATGATGGGGATTTTGGGATTCAAGATTTTGCTTAACCTTCGTCCAATTAACCCCGCAATAAGCATTTTAATGTCCTGTCTATTTTCAAAAGACCGATTTAATCTTCTAATTTAGTTAATTACCTCTCTCGTGTGTTGAGCATATTAACTTACTATATCTCTATATCGATTAATAACGTAATCAATCGTGTTAAGGCGGTGAGAATGGGCAAACGGTTCACTTAGGTTACGAATATATCACTATGTCCCACAAATCCTGGTGTAATTATAACTGGGTCTATGATGCATGAATAACCTCTCGGAGATCATAAAAATTACTACGTATTCATCAAGTAAATTTCAATGGAATACTGAGAATTACTCGATCAACACTTCTTGATGTAACCAAATATCTAGAACAAACGAAATTAGAATTTCATAGATTCTAATATCAAGGATGCACTATCGTTGTTACGTACGTCTTCCTTGACTTGATAGATCCATCCAATTGATCCCACACACAACTTCATTTATTTCAAAGAATATCAAAGTTGGATTTCAGAATTGAAAAAAATATCTATTTCTAAAAAATTTGTTCAATAAACAACCAAAACAACTCAAGTTCGTATTTAATTAGTGCTTTAGTAAGAAAATCCAAGCTAAACTATTGTCCTTGTTATGCGGAATGAAAGATCACCAAAGCTTTTCTTGACTCAGTATACTCCAATCAATCAAAATCTCAAACAAGCCGAGACCAAAATCGAAACCAAAGAGGACTCTTGGAATTGTGACATTTTGTTGTCACGTTTTTTTAAATTGTATCTGTCAAATGCTGGCTATAAATAGAGCCAAGTTATATAAACAATATAAGAAGGAAATATAGAAGAAAAACATTTGAGAAAATGTAGTCTCAAGAGTGTTCTCCTTCTCATCTGTTCTGTAAAAACAGAGTGATTTTAGTTTGTTTTTATATGTTTTATGTTTTGAAAGTCCGGTTACTTCACTAACTGGTAAATGATAATCCACTCTCCTCCATACAAAATGATAAGAATTCTCTTAAAAGAGCTTTAGAAAAATGAAATCCCAACAAGGACCCAACTCCGGTTGCTTTAGGATGACTACTTAGAACGCACAATAAGGATGTTATTGCAGCTACGAAGGCAGACTCAAAGGTCGAAATTGGAGAAGAAAATGCACAGTAAAGGAGAGCACGAAGCAGGCTTCGTTTTTCACCAAAGGAAGAAGACAATGCAATAACACACACAAGATACGACCAAGGAAGTAGCATGTATAAAGTGTGATTAGGGTGAAAAAATGGGCCACCCCAATAATTGGTCAATTGAATTACTAAGTGGGTCATTTACAATAAGCTATATAAGTAGGCGGGAAACACGCCATGAGTAACTCTAATAAAATTAAATTGCTTCAAATGGCATAAATGGTTTTAGGGTCGAATTGTATCATTTTGAGAAGTTGACTTTTACTTCAGTCAATTGGTCAATGCCGAATAAGAAAATTAAACCGAGTTACATCATAACCCAAGAGGTCACTTGATAACAATTTCTCAACAAACCTCCTCTATAATATGAAAGGACCTGCAAGAAAAACATTATCATCCATTAGTGACAATTCCAAAAGGAGAACCGATAAAATTGGAAATTATTTACCTCCATCTATGTTTAAAAGATTCTTACAACTTCTAAACTTCACAAGAAATACCTATTTCCACCCGAGTTGGAATTACTAGCAAGACCCCACAAGTTTGAATGCACATATTCAAGCTTGTCTTTAATTTTTTGAACACTCGTGGAGAAAGAAGTTCTATGATATTTACCAAATACACAGTGATCACAAAAAGATAAATCAAACACACAATCATTAACAAATGCACCTTTTTCACCAAAAAGTTTAAGCTCTTTAATACCCACACGTACTAGTCTATTGCGTCATTCACGTGTGTGATCAACCTTGATAGAAGAGATAAATGAATTTAAATTTCTTATTATTTCTCCAGTAGTCATATAAACATCATTTTTCCTGGTTCCTTTTATGAAAACAAGTGCACCCTTAACTAATTTTAAAACTTAATTTCCAATTTTACCAGTGAAGTCAAGTCTTCCTACTAAAATTAAATTCCTAGTCAATTCAAGAATGTTGTTAGGAATATTGGGTCTAACTCCGCCTAATAAAACCGACTTATTAGGGGAGGATTGCCCCCACCTTATTAAGTGGATCATTTATATTTTCCCAAACAATGTGGGATTCTAATAGTATTGTCCCGAGTGTAAAATAAATGCAATAGGACCTAAAATTCTGATACCATATTAGGAATATTGAGCCTAACTCCACCTNGTCTAACTCTGATACCATGTTAGAAAGGATTTTGGGTCTAACTCCACCTAATAAAACCGGCTTATTAGGGGAGGATTGCCCTCACATTATTAAGTTGATCATTTATATTTTCTCAAATAATGTGGGATTCTAATAAATGTATTTAACAACATTTAAAGCATACACAAGATTAGTGTCAAATTTTTAAGTAATATTACCAATTTCAACAACAGTATAAGCAAAATTCTCATATAGTACAATATGTCAATCGTTTGATTTATGCAAATTTTCAAATCAGTCCTTTTGTGATGTTACATGAAAAGATGCACCAAAATGAAGTATCCATTCATAAAAAGGAGAATTGACAGTTATATTCAATTCAACATGATAAGCAACATAACTTGTAATCACATAAATTTCACCATCATCAGCATTGGAAGCAGAAGACAACACTTTTACTTTATCTTTTTCCTTTCCTTTAGCTTACAATTCTCTTTATAGCAATTCTTTATAAAATTCCTAGTGTTTCTACATCCATAGCATTTCTTAAACTTGGTCATAGATTTTGATCTAGACCTACCATTGCTCTTCTTTTTATCTTCACTATTACTTGACTCACCACCACTCTAAAACCCATCATGACTGTTTTTTCTAAATTGAGTTCTACCCTTCATCATGTAAATCTCACCCCATTTTTTATCACGTTTTTCAGTTTTAATCTTTATTTCCTTACTTTTCAGTGAGTTAATGAAAATTTCAAGTGTCAATGTATCCCTACTATACTTAATCGCATTATTGACTTCCTTATAAGTGTCAGTATAGATATAAGCAAGATAATAGCCTTATAGGTATCGGACACTGTTTCTTCACAATTAACAATATCTTGAACAAGTTTGTTAAATGCGTTTAAATTGTTATCAAAATATTTGGAAGGATCTATTTTAAAGTTGAAAAAACGTTTAAGTAAGTAAAGCTTGTTTGGAGTATATTTGAGTAAATATAAATCTTCCAATTTTTTCCAAAATTTTTTAGTGGTTTTCAGTTTACCTACTTTTCTCAAAATAACATCAGATAAGTGTAAAATGATTGAAGTGTAAGCAATCTCATCGACTTCTTCTTTTTGTTCTTTTGAAAAATTAGTAGAAAAATTGCCATCAATGGCATTTCCGACTTTTTGTTGAACCAAAATATCTCTCATTTTATGTTGCCAGATTGAAAAATCATATTTTTCATTAAAAATTCTCAAATCAAAATCGTGAGTCGTTATTTTTAATAATCAATCAAAGAACACAAAATCACAATTAAGCCATACAAAGTAGACATAGAGTCGTAAACAATATACACCGTTCTAGATTTTCAATGTTTCATGAGATTCTTGATCTTCGATCAAGGAAATGTTCAAATGGGTAAGGTCTAAGTATTCTAATGAATTAACGGTGTAACAAGAGATATGTCAACCAAATATTTTCACACAGTGTATCACAGAGATAATAAGCCGATTTTATCAAAATGAATAATTCAATTACTTAACAATTAAAGGCAAGTAGTTATTAATTTCTAATACAAAC